ACAACCTATTCAACCTCTTTTAAATGTTAATACATGATCTCGAGCCAAAACTTTTTTAAAATAAATTTTCAATATCGCAATAACATTCTGAATCGCTAGCCACGATATGTGCTAAAATAAAAAATAAAATTATAAAAACTTACTCGGTGATATAAAATATGTGGTGGATATATATACCTGGTACAAAATATTCTTCAATTGTACGAATGTATTTTTAAAGAAAATTATAATTAAATATAGCTTTGTAAAGAAACGTACATAAAAATAACATAAAATATTGTTTATTCTTTAAATATTAACCACTTAGTCAAATAGCTCTCTACGACTGGAATCAGAGACGGTCCTGCTAAATGTGCGTTGCGTGCATTCACGCGGGCAGCCAAATCCCAAGGGTGCAGGGTTTTATTTATGTCCCTAATTCCCTAATCTCTTAATTATTTAACTACTGTACTTCTTAAGTAGAAATAAGTCGAAACCGGTTACTTTGTATACGAATATTTGTAGTCTCGGGAAAAAAGTGGAAAGACAAATTTTTATGGCAACGGATACATAAATTGTAAATTTAAGGAAAATAAATTCTATAGCCTTTTCTGTACCCCGTGCATCTCTCTCATTCGTTAAATTTAGTTGTAAATCACACTGTCAAAGTAATAGTTAATTTTTTTCACATTATACAAGAATTGTACACGTTTTCTTCTACACCCCCTTAAAGATGGGACATACAAAATCGCAATATCACTGGTTTAACATTGAAATCCGTGAGCGATATAAAATCGGAGAGCGGAATAAAAATATCAAATATTTTAATGGATTTTTTTAACTCCTGTCAACTATACAGAACTATCGTAAAAACGTACCAGTAAATTCTTATCGGTTGGGTTAAGTTATAAATCTACTCGCGATTGGCGTAATCGGGCGAGGGCGGCCAAATATCTAGCGGGCAGGTGTCTAACAACCCAGAACCGGTCCTTGATAGAATTGGATGCAGTATACGTGTAGCATCCACCCGAGGTCCTAGGCTTCCACCGGCTAAACCGGGTGAGGTTGGTGCTCTGTGAAGCGAATGCGCGAATCTGGCTTTTTGGATGCTGACGATAAAGCGCTTCCACTCCATCACTAATATTCGAATATACAATAGCAATTTTATCGTTTTTTTTCACGTGTAGTATAGAAATTTGTAATAAGATACATAATGCGGTTATAATAAAATATTGTGCGATTATTTTCATATAATTAAAATTAATACGTATTTATTTTTTAGAAAATACAAGGGAAGCGGCGCATCCATCACTTCCAATAACGGCACGCCACTGGACTACACGAAAAGATGACGAACTTAAAGTGAATTCGTGTTCAGGTTTCATTTAGATTTTATTCGTACACGAAAACGCGACACGTGGACGATCTGCCTTTCATAGAATTGACCATTTTTCAAATGGCCAGCCCGTTGAAAGGGCACGAACCCACGACCATCAGTGTCCAGCGGTTTTATCCAAGCACTGGTGGGTCCGAAAGATGATTGAATATTCTTTTGAGATATGTTTTAAAAAATAGATATTTATGGAATAAATGTTAAGAGAGTAAGGAAAATTTCAGAAAACCTTCATAAAATAAGCATAATTTAATTTTTTTTTTAATTAAAAGCAACAACGTGTAACTAGTTACGTTTATTTAATATAAAAAATAATTTAAACAATGATCAAATTAATAAATTTTCTTGGATATTTACAATTTTGTATCACACTGAAGATTTTTATCACGAATTCTTTGTATAAGAGGCTCCAATATCCACAGAAATGCGCAAGCAAACAAAAGCGAAGCTAAGAGATAAAATAAATAATCATATCTTCCAATCTTTTCTCTAAAGTGTCCTGTAATAAAAAATTAAATTTATTATTAAAATTTATTTTATATTAAATTATTTTAATCTATTTACATTAGACAATGTCTTAAGGATCTATAGTTTGCTATAAGGAAGACTTTCCTCCTATATACATCCTTCAGAATACCGAAATCCTTTAAAGGTCTCAAGAGTGGAGAAATAGAGAAGGATCGAGTAGGATAGGACTTAACGAAGATTCTACTAGTTATTAGCATTTTTATTTTCTTTATACTTACTCTCTAAATAAAATTATTGTAATTCCAATATATAGGCTACAACACTGTACAGTGTAGATGAAATGTATGTACGCTTGTCTATTCAGCAAAAAAACAAAAAAAATCTAGCATTTTATGGCAAGTCACTGGCATTAAGAAATACAAGTTCATTCCTCTTAAAATTATTCTGTTAACATTATTCTATTGATATTTTCAATCCAGGTGAGTAGATAAAACACTGCATTACTTCGTTGCGAGTTTACGTCCTAACTAATGGGCTGGGTTTGTGGTTTTTTAACGTGTCTAACACCTAAATAGGGTCCAATTTAGAGTCCCGTAGAAGGTTCTTCGGTGGGCATTATTCCTTGGCAGATTGCTCGTGCGTTGTGTTGCCGTACTTTATCAACCCTAGTACGTGGGTTTAAATTATAATTGTTCTTCAAATGCATTAAATTTTAAATTATACTTATAGACTACATGAAAATTGTATAATAAATCTATATATAAAACTGAAATTTCAACATTTTTAACAATAAAAAAAATCAAATTTCAAGTTTCCTTTTAAGTTTGTTTCGTGTTCGTATCTAATTGATAAAGTGTCATCACATAAACTTCAATTTCATTCGATAAACACGTAAAAAGTTTATTTTAAACTAGATTTACAGATAATGATATAAACTTAGAGTTTAATATACTATATAAAAATAGTCCTCACACAAAAATAAGTGTAAAAAAAAGATAAATCCATCCAAATAACATAAATTATAAACAAATTTTCAAAAGTAATTATCAATTTTTATCTATCTGAAAGAGAACCGATTCTCAATAGGATCTGTACCGACATGAATTATAGTGCAAGTAAATACAGTAGACACCCCTATAACACTGTTGATAATTCCGTTTTATATGAAATCCATGTTGTACGAGTCACTTAGATTTTACAAATACGTGTACCAGGCTGTGAACGGCTCACGTATTTGTAAAATCTAAGTGACTCGTACAACATGGAATTCATATAAAACGGAATTATCAACTTTATATGGGAAAGTGGCCCCTATTTATTGTTAGACACGTGAAGAAAACCAGGAAAAATTCACTCTAAACAGAAAAGAGTGGATTTTTCCACTCTCTTCACTATTTTCAGGGGGAAGATCTAATAAGATCTAATTTGAAAAATTACTTTTTTAAATAAACCAGCAACAGGTTGCTCAACTTTTCAGGCAACATTTAAAATTTTAGTGGTGCTATCTGTTATTAGATTATATTTTAAATCTTTTTATATTTTTAACTGTTATAAAATGACGAAAAGCTTAATTTTGAGGGTAGGGATAAGTTTTATTAAAAAAAAATATTGTAAAGGCTAATAACGAGTAAAATTGTCATTAAATCCGACGCTACATGCGATCTCCATTATCTCTCCACCTCCTCTACCTTTAACCACCCAAATTTAATGGCATCAATCACCGTAATAAAAAAACCTCCCTGCAAAATTTCAGAAATTTTCGACAAAAAACAAAGGAGTTATTAAGCTTAAAAGAGGATGAATAAAATCGTGCTCCCCGCACACACTAACATATAGAAATTACGCCCAATTTTTTTGCATTTCTCGACGTTTTAAGATGTCCTGAGTCCATAAATGTAAAAGCGTTATGGAGGATGCTCCCGAAAGAATTTTTATGGGAAACTAACTAATCCCTATTTAGGTAGGGTCTTCACGTGGTCTTCAGGCGCGAATCAGAGTTCAGTGGTTTTATCGTACGATTCATTTCGTAATATATCTTGATTTATCTTGTTTTTAAACATATACTTTTAACAATTTATATTTTCTTTTTTATTTTTAGAAGTTACGGATAAAATACAGTAGTGTCTTGTTTTTTTGCAGGATTGATACATACAGGTTTTTGCTATTGACGAATGGTTACGTTAATCCTTAGATGCCAGAAGTATTTTTAACTATTAATACATATAGTAACAATAGTAAACGCATAAAATAAAGTTTTCCCTCGTTATATCGCTCATTCGAATATATTGCATTAGCTTTTGGTCTTCTAAATTTAAAAACGCTTTAGCCAATAATGGATAGATACATTGGATGATATACTCAATGTATCCATTCGGTTAGTCTCCCTCGATGAGTGATATAACGAGGATCTACTGTATTTTAAGTACATTTTCCCGTTAATTGTAAATGATCATTCGAGTCTTTTTCAAAGTTCTTTTCGCTCTGCGGCTACTAAGAAAGTTTTTATTCAGGCCCACAATGGAGGTGGCCGGGTGGTGGATAGTCTGTTCCGGATATATCGTTCGGAACAGACTTCCCATGAAAAATTAATTGAGTTGCTCGTCTGAATTTGATCCCAAGTCCTCCAGAAAAGTATAGGGCATAAGTCCTCCAGAAAAGTATAGGCATAATCGTCTAGAACTCTTGGCTGGAGCATAGATTTATGTGGTACCGTCTGACATGCAATTCTCGCCTTGAGACAAGACCACAGTGTAATTTCTACTGTAATATAGTGTTTAACCGAGTAGATAAAACACTGAACAGTAGTTTGTCGCGGATTCGCGCCTGGCCAACGGGCTTGCACTATGGAGTTTTTTTCCTTTCTTCACACAGATACAGACCAGTTTCCTATAAAAGTCCTCTCAGGATGCAGTCGTCCATGTGTCGCGTTGAGGTAACCAAATAAACTATCCTTACAGTGTTCATGGTTCGTATGGTATTCAATTCATCTCGTATACCGAATTAAGATTTTTTTTTCAACTGAAATTATAATAAGAAAATTTTGAAACTAAAAGTACAATAGGCTGATAAACTTAAAAGAACTTAAGCGAGCACACGCTAGTGTTATCTGTTGACGAATAAACGTATTAAAAGAATTATTATTTTAGTATTCAATAACGATGAAATTTTAAATGATACAATTTCAAATTTAATCGAATGATATTATTTTTCTAGCGTATTTATATTATTCAATAGATATAAGATATTTAATTACACATAAGATATCGTAGAGGTAGTCAAAAGTAATGCATTTTAACATCTAAAATATTTATTTCTCAATCAGATTTTATATTCGGTGACCTGTTTAATATGCTAAAAGTCCTTGACAATATCCAGAAATATTGGTATCGGGTGGAGAGAGTCACGTTGCAAATCAACTACAAAAGTACACTATATCGAGGTCAAACGAATATTAAGAGAAGACCATAAAGATAAGATTGTTTTCTTATCTCCAAATATATTTCAGGGATCCATTATTGACCAGTTTGAAAGTTGCTTACTTCTTTTAATAATTTTATTTCTGTAAAAGTTTTAAAATCATTTTATTCGTAAAAGTTTATTTCCGAAATATTAAAATGAAGTATTTATAACTTATCTGATGGAATACTTTAATCGTCAACATAAAACTTTCTACTATTTACGTTGTGTAAAGTAAATTACGTTGTCTCTTTCAAGAATAATTACATATTCTGACGTCATACAGTGGTAGTTACGTAATAAACAAAGGATTTGACAAATTAGTCATCAATTTTCTACCTAATTATGATTGGTAAATAGTATTATTCGCTAAGAATCCTTTAATTATTAACTTCCTACGAGATAATTCCGGCTTTTTTTGCGTGTCTAACACTTAAATAGGGGACAGTTTCCCTTAGATCACATCCCCTTTTGACAAATCGTCCATGTGTTACCCGTCAAACCAAACCAAACCCTATATTACAAGATAATTTATAAATAACTTGGTAATATTTTTGAAATAGTTTACTTGAAAATGAAATGTTTATCTTCTTATATTTCGAAATGTTATTATTAAATAATAATTTAAATTTATGTACTACAGTACTTGCCTGTTATTGGTGCTTGAACCAGCAATACCACCAATCCAGTAATAAAATTACTCAAACCGACTGCAGCTGGTAATTTATTTATACCTAGATATTCGGATAAAAAAACTGATTCTTGAATAATCGTGCATCCGGAAAGAAATCCAAGAATGGATGATAAAACCATCATCACCGTGTAACTCCATAATTGAGGTAGTACACATAGTAGACATCCCATGGATAAAAAACATAAGACCACAACGTTAACTCTCTTCATAATTCCTAAATCCACAATCCATCCTGATCCGAATCGTCCACACATATCTGATAGAGCATAAGCTGAAACTAGAAACACTGAAGACGTAGTACTAACTTCTCTATCAACTGCAAAGTCGACAATAACTGTCCCGTAGATATTTATAAACAAAAAGAATATGGCAAAGCTAATAGAAATGATCAAAAATATGGGATCTTTTCCAACTTCTGCAGCGGTTCTCAAGGTCTTCCATTTGTTTTCTTTATCGTCGACAGTCTTCTGCGATTCTTCTACGCTCTTAGGTTGACGATACAAACAAGCTGCGGCTATACCCTGCATTAAAACACCACCCAAGAGTAAGAAGCATCCCTTCAGACCGTAATTAGTAATTAGAATTTCTAGTAAAGGTGGAAGTACAAACGATCCAACCGAAGCACCACCTCTAAATATTCCCATTGCTGTGGTTTTATATTTATTAAAATGCATATTGATGATAACCGGATTGAAAGTATAGATGAGACCATTACCTAAACCTAAAAACATTTTTAATTATAAAATTTTAAAATATTGTTGAAGAAATTTTCGAAAAAACTTACCGTTAACAATTCCCAAAAACAAGATAAGAGAGATAAAATGTAATGAAAAATAGCAAAGAATGCATCCAGAAGCTGAAAGAACACTACCGATCATAACCAATTTTCGAATGGTGAGATATTGAATTAAACAGGAAAATATGGGTCCTGAAAGTATTATTTATTAATCTTTTATAATAATTTAATAGTGCGTAATTTGTATATAAAAATTACCTGATAAATGCATCACCGAAGCCATCAGACTTAACGGCCATGCCGATTGAACTCGACTTAATCCCAGAATTTGTGTAAACGAAACATAAAGTACACTCCCCGATCTAAGAAATCCAACAGAAATAAAATTGGTGACAAAACAAGCAATGGCAACAACCCACGCCCACCCTCCATCTCTAGAATCTGTATCGTTTTTCCTTGCCATGACATTCATCAAAGCACAACAACTCCAGACTGTCTGCTACCTTTTACATACGATCTTTGTACTTTTCCTTTCTAAATATTTACAGATGACCCAGGTGATTGCTTCATCTTGGTAATGGTGTCAGCTTTTAATGTTTTTTTTTTTTAATACACATATAATGCAGGAATGTCTTTATTAAAATTCTTCTTCGTATCAATGTCATCATATATGATCGATGGCCTCCAAGAAATGATGTGTTTAGATATTGAAATTGCTAGTGAATTTTTATGATGAATTTACAAATATATGATATGTTTCGCGCTGTTTTTTTTCGTGTTTTACATATTTAAACAATAAGGTAAATTATAATAAAGAAGCCACTCGTTTAAGTGGAACAGTTGCAAGAACATTCCAGTTTGTATGAGAATCGGGACTCTATCGTGTTTATCGTTAACGTTATTTCCAAATAGGTCAAGCATAAAATTAGGACAAATTGAGAGATTCCTTCGTGCTTTTCTAATGAACTTTACATCAATTTTTTTTATAATGGAATGCGAATATTTTTAAATTTTAATTATTTTATCACTTTCATTTATTAATTAAAAATTTTAAGAAAATTGTTTTACCTCTCGCTATAATTAAGAAATAATATTTAAAAAATAAACCAGTTTTTATAGATAAAATATGATGTAAAAAAATTAATTATCAATTTTATTTTCATCGACTAAAAAGGGTTCTATAATCCAGCATAAACCAAGGAATATTTCCATTCCTCCTAATATGTAAAATATTGGATCGTAACTACCTTTGATGTCTCTAAAATATCCTGAAAATATAAACATTAAATCTTGTAATTTCTAGATAATGATGATGATAATCGAATTATAAAATATAACACTTACCTATTAAAAGGGGTGCAGCAAAATTTATTAATCCAAAAAATGTATTGCCTAAACCTAAAGATAATGGTAACCTAGTTAAACCAAGATATTCTGTAAAAAGAACGTAGCTGTTAACGACCAGACAACCAGTGAAGATGCCCAAACAAAGCGCAATGACGAGCATCATTGTAAAACTTGAAAAATGGGGTACACAAAAGAATAGTATTCCCATTCCGAAACAGCACACGACCACTAAATTTTTTCTTTTCATGAAACCTAAATCTGTAATCCATCCACAAGCTAATCTACCGCATAAATCAGAAAATGAGAAAACCGATACAATAAAAACACCCCTGGTTACTGCTATAGAACGATCTGAGGCATAATCGACGACCACAGTTTGATAGGTAATGAAGCAAAACATGTTAAAAGAAAAGGTCGATATAATTACATAAAAAATGGGTATTTTAAACAGTTGATAGAGCATTTTCATTATTTTAAGAAACTTCGATTCCTCTTTGGTGCTTAGCATCTTCTCCGATTCGAGCCCATCTAAGGCAACGTCCTCCATCTCTACTCGATTACGTTTTGCGCTTTGTTTAATGGGTCTGAATAACATGGCCGTCACCAAACTTTGTACCAGAACAGAACTTAATAATAGGAAACTTCCTCTTAAACCGTATTCGATCATTAAATATTCTGTTAGAGGTGGTAAGACGAAAGATCCTATAGAAGAACCCGCGAGTGAAAGGCCAGTTGCCATGGTTCTGTATTTAACAAAGTACTGGTTAATTGCTATGACGTTAGAATTTTTGGCTAATCCGGACCCTATTCCTGAAATAAAACGTATGCAAATTAGTATAAATGAGTGTTTTAAAACACATAATATGTAAATTGATTTTATAGGGTGATTCAATGGGGGGAGAGTCTCCATACAAAACACACAAGGCACTTTATAAGGAGTCACTTCTAAATCACTGAATATAACTTCTGTAACTTAGAAGTAAAAAAAGTTTTGAGTCTTCCATATTGTAAGTTAATTTTATTTAGTTTTTATCTGGTTTTTAACGAAGGAAACCTGAAAATTTTGCAACTTTTCCACAATATGCGGTTTATATTTTAAATTCCCAACTGCATTGTCTTATTAATATCTATTGAGTAACCCGGTAGATTGATATTTTATTGAAAAGTCAAGGATATTAATTGCTTCCTGTCTTGAATACAAAACGAGAAACTGGACCGCATTTTCATATTTTAATGTTTCTCACGTATTGCCTGAAGTAATTTCTATCTATTTTTTTTCCTTCATTAAAAATTGGAGAAAGCTGATTGAAATTATTATAATTATTTTTTGTACAAAAAAAAAACACTAATGAAAAACTTAAATTTGATAAAATAAAAAATGAATAATTAAATTTTACCGAATTGTTGTATATTTTACTGTAATTAAGCGCGATGTGAGTCATGAGAGAATTTCAAATATTCGAATTATTTTAAAATTATTATTAATTAAATTATTTTTAAATCTGATAATTTTTCGTTTAAAACATATTTTTTTATTTTTTTTAATCATCATTTTACGCTTATTCGATTTTCTTCAAAATAACGAGAAAAATTGGAAATTACATGTTTTTCCTCATGAATGGTTGTAATTATATTTAAATAATGATGATAATAACATTTCTGTTTTTAATTAGAGAATTTTTTAAAGTTTACATATCTTATTTAAGCTTTTTTTTAATATTTACTTCACATTTTTAAGCTTTCTAAGTACTTAAACCATAGTTTTTTTTTTAAAATGTGGCTCGCTAATCCCTCAAGATTGCAAACCGTATTTTTGGGTTTTGAAGCCTTTCATTATGTTAAAACGAGATATTTAAATAAATAAGGGGAAAATTTTATATATTTGTATCATATTTATACACCATTTATGCCCTACGTAACATTTAAATCAAAGTTTTTCAAAAGGTTAACTCGCTAATCCCTCAAGATTGCAAGCCATATTTTTAAGTATTACGACCTCTAATTATGGTAAAATGAGACCTGTAAAGTATGAAAATGTTGGGAAACATTAATTTAAGTATATTTATTCACCGAAAATTTAAAAAAAAAGTTCTTTAAATTAATCACAAATAAATTCATCATTACATTGAGCAATATTGAAATTTCTCTTATGAACCATTAGAATTTCGTATATTTAATTAACTGAATTTAATTTCAGGAGTTTTAGTAGTTAACTTACCAAAGATAATTCCAAAATATACTACTATTAATACGATATTATTGGCTGTATAACATAGTGCCACTCCGATAGACGATAGAAGAGTGCCATAAAAAACGAGTGTCCTGATCGAAAAATACTCAGCAAGAATTCCCACGAATACACCTAAAAGTGAAAAATATATATTCTTATAACTATATTTGTTAATTTAACATTATTAAAAAGTCTGTACGGGTGTTTTAAAGTGCATAAAAAAAAATAATAACAATTTCACCTTGGTAAACATTTCATTTTGTTTTAAGACTTTCATAAAAATGTGATAAGAAGCGAGCCAAATAATGAATTATAATGAATAATTAATGAGTTAGTTTTATAATTACGTAAAGATTTTTATGATCGACAATATGACTATTCTTAGAAGGCTAAGTAAACAGATTTCTTTCAACACTAAGTGCGGATTCAAGTTCAAGAAAGCATACTTGCTCGTTGCTATCTTAAAAAAACATTACAAATTAATATTTTAAAACGATTTATTATCTAAATTTAATTATTATAATGAAGAATAATTGAATAAATTTCGGCTCGAAATAATTGCAACACGTTAAATGGTTCTCTTCGTAGTCGAAGGTACAAAGTTCATCCTTCAGTTAAAATATAACCTTTGCACGTTTCTGAATTATTATTTAAACTATATTTATTTGAATGTTTTACAAGTACTTACCTAAAATAGATAGCAGGGATGCTGCCAAAGTGAATGGCCAAGCAGCATTTTCTCTACTGACATTTAAAACGTCAACTAGAGCCACGTAGATGACACTGGTGGATCGAAAGACCCCAAGTGAGGTAAACATAGTACAAAAACTCGCTACAGCTACGATCCATGCCCATCCTCGATCAATGTTCTTGTTCATCTCGCTGTAAAGTATCGATAAGATTAATGTGCGTCACGTTTGACCTTCGTCGACACTCGCACTCGATAACTGACAGTCGCACCAAAGAGCTGGCGAATTGCAATCGAAACAGTGATTTACCGAAACGACTAGTCATTGTCGAAAGGGGGGGAGGAAATAATTGCAGCTTACCAGAAGTTTACGTAGACCTAAGGGGGAGTAATTGTGTACTTTTGTTAGCAAAATTGAAACTAGGTTAAAGCCATTACAAACTTTTATATTCTTCAAATGACAATATTCGTATTTTTCCTGTATAATAAGGAAATTTCACCTACAAAATTTTTACATACTCGTAAATTTTTCAACGTAGTCATCATTTTTTCTTTAATTCTTTTCTATTTTATGCAAATTTGCTACCTTTATTGTTGCGAAATTCTCATTTAGTTCCACTTGAAACGGAGTATCGTAAGTATAAATAGGTATTTAACACCCGTATTCGTGGTATAAGTTTGGTCTTTAACCTAGTTTTTCGTACCTTATTCTAAAGCTGGTCCTTACCAGGATACCGCGATCCGAGGATCCAATTTCTGTTACAATATGGTTTATAAATTATGACCTTTAACCTAATTTCTAGAGCTTTTTAAAGATAGTTCTTGCAAGGATACGTAGACCAGATTTTAAAAGAAAGGTGCGCATATCTCAAGGTCTTGAACGAAATTTTTAATTTCGTTTAACACCCGACGTCACTCTGAATAAGGTCGAATGAACAATGTAAGGATTTTTTTTTTACATTTTATACTAATTTAATTTTATTGTATCGAACGAAAATTGGTAATATTTGAAATGACGAAACATAAACTTCTACTCGCGCTCATTACAAAGGAAAAATGTATCCAAAAATAGACATATTCGACTGTTTTTAAGAGCGTAGTAGTCACGCTTCGATAGTTGGCAATGTCTAAATTATTATTAATTTTTTATATATTTAAAATCTATAGAATTCTAATTGTTATTGCATAATTTAGGTGCTTAAGTATATTGTTTATAACTTAAGGAAGTTTGAATGTCACGCTGTATTCATTTACTTTAAAGTTTAAAACTTCGCTAATATGTAGGATTCGGCGTAAAGATTTAATTTTTTTTAGTCCAGAAAATCGATATTTTTAAAAATAACGAGTGTAAAATTATTAAAAATTTCATTTATAATAAATTTTTAACTTCATAAGTGAAATATTTCCACGTTTTCCTTTACGAGTTTGAAGTGAGATGGTGAAATATTGTTGTATGTTCTATATTTAGGTATCATTTTAAAGTAATTCTTGCAGAAAATTATAATAATTACCTATAAGCAATTTTTGATGGTTCATTTAACAATATTCCAACGTTCTTCCATAACTAAATAAGGTTCTTTTAGTATACTGTACATTTAAAATACCGAATTTTGCATTGTTTTTGTCGCTCATCAGTACGTTAATCTTCTATATCTACAAATAAATTAATGAAACTTTATCAGATATATAATATATTCTCCTATATAGAAAAATATAGAGACAATTTAATTTTAAAAAAAGGCCTTGATCGGTTATCGAGTGCTCTAAATTTTTTTATTTTGTTTATAATAATTACTCAACTAGAACGTATTCAAAAATATGTCGAAGTTTTCCTTTCATTCTAGCAAAAGTTTTTCCAGTTTGAAGCGGAACGGGTAGACAAACAAGTAGAATCTGGAGCGAAGAAATGACTCGGATAATTACGATTATCCTTCACGTAATTCGCACTTAAACATTCAAATAGATGCGGGTTATATCTTCACGATGACGATGGCAACGTCTCGTCTCGATTAATGAGTGGAAATTATAAAATTGGGGTCAAGATAATTTATGTTTATCTACGAACTGTAATTATTATTCATAAGACAACGACGACGACACGTGATGATGTATTTCATTAACGTTATAAGCGAATCGCCGCGACGTCGCGCGACTCTTATAACGATTGAGGTGCTTTAACAATGCCATTCATTCATTTACGTTTGCATACTACGCACTTTTTATATTACACCTAAGGTCATTTATGACTACACTCTAGAAAATGACACGTGAGTACGATACTAATCTTCTATTCATTCATTTTTGTATTATAATTAATGTAAGTCGTGAGTCGTATGTATACATTAAAACGTGAACTAAATGTTTACGTTTTAATGTATATGTTACCGTGAAAGACCGAAATTAGAGAATGTCAATATTCTCCGGTGAATGTCGACAAGCACAGATAAGCTCTGACAAGCCGAGAAGACATAGCCAGAGAGAAGCGACAAAAACGCCAAGTCGTTTGTTCTCTCTCGCTAAATCCTCTACTGCGATTGAGGTCACAAAAACGTTACATATTAAGTTGCAATGTTGTATTTAAATTTATGTAAACAAATGTCAAATTAAACGTAGTGCACCTATAAAAGGTATTGTTGTGAAACCAATGGTCAGTTCGGAGTTAAAGTCAAGCTGTCAAGTGGATCTGGTAGACCTGCAGTAACACAGAGATGAAGATTAAAAGTTCATAATAGTATATCAAGACCATTTAACGAAGTTTGCCCAGACAGCTGAAGAAGTAGAGTATCACCTTCTTGAAATATTTTTAACATTTGGTGCTTCAGCTATATTGCATTGAGATAATGGTAGAGAATTCATATCCGAATTCATATCGAGTCATATCCGAACTATGCGCTATGTGGAAAGATGTTAAGATAGTTCACGGGAAGCCTCGTCATAGTCAAACACAAGGCTCAGTTGAAAGGGTCAATCAGGATATACAGAATATGTTAACTGCATGGATGAACGATAACGATACAAATGAACGGTTAGATGGTTTGCCCTTTGTTCAATTTGCCAAGAACACAACATACCACGAAGGAATATGCCAAAGTCCTTATGAAGATGTTAAACCAAAAGAGGCATAGCATAATCATCTTTGCCTGACGAGCGAATCGCAAATATTAAACCGGAGAACAACTAGAAAAAATTGTTAATACTTTAAAAAAAAAAAAAAAAAAAAAAAATTGAGCAGTGACCATTTCGAAAATCATATTCCAAAGGAAAATATTGAAGAAGAGCTGCAACCTACCACATCTTCATATCAAACTCTGATTGAACAACACGAGTTTATTTCTATAAAAAGAGCGGCCGCGAAAGAGAATCTTCTACTGCAAGCAACGAAAATGTTACGAACCTCAAAAAGAAAACTTCCTCCTGCTCAAATTCGTGATACCTTCCAAATACAAGTCCCTGATGTCGACCGTGGTCGTACAGATGCCCGAAATGTGTTGGCGGTTGTTATTGGAAAAGAAGACTCCGACTTTTATAAACTAGCAAACAAAAATGGTACCCTCAAGCAGCTTTATACTCGTAATCAGTTCATAATTTGTAAAGAAAAGTTACTTTCCATATATGAGATTTCTTTCAAGAAAATGTCGCTGAGAGAAGCAGCTGCAACTAATTCCAGAAGTGGAGGGCAAGGCTATACACTCTGTAATTGCAAAAAGAAATGTTCCACGACTAAATGCAGTTGTAAAAGCAAGGAACTCTTGTGCAATTCAAAGTGTCATAACAGTTTAAGTTGTTAATATAAATAAGATTGTATAACGTTAATCACATAATTTATGTGTAATTTTATTATTGGTATTATTTTCTTTAATGATTTAGAATGTACTGTTCGTTTCAGGTTCAACAGTTTGTACTGTACATGTGCTGTTAATTAAGCTTTCTTTAATTTTGACATATATCATATATTATGTAACATATACATACGAATAAACAAGTACAAACATAAAATTCGATGATATAATTATTTAGAATGACTATGTGCACTTTTTTTATATCTAAAATGGCTTCTCTTTATATCTCATAACCTACAGTACATCTTATACAATTTCGTTTTTAATACAACTGGAAAAATTATATGTACTGTACGTACATTAATTCGATTCTTATATAAAAACTTTCCAGCAACAAGTTGCGTAACTTTTCCGGGTAAAAAATTCCGTGTGGCGCCATTTGTTACATGGCAAATAGCTTAATTTTAAGGATAGAGACAAATTTTATTTAAAAAAAAAAATCCCCAATACCCAAATTTCCCTGTAAAATTTCAGAAATTTTCGACAAAAGACACAGGAATTGTTAGGCTTCAAAGCGAATGAACAAAATCGTGCCCCCCCACACACACTAACATTCATACATGCAAAAAAGTTGGGTTTTTTCCTGTATTTCTCGACATTTCAAGGCCTTGAGTTCAAAATTATAAAAAGAAAATTTGTAGGGGGTCAGTTTTTGACCGATCACCGTGTTATATAGGAGCTATAACAGCCGGAAAGTAAAAAATAATAATGTACAGTTCAGTTTATTAGGTGCCAGTGTTTGGTTTTTTTCCATCTTATGCACACTAAAGAGCTTCTTTTCCGTACCCATCGTGGGTTCGGTCACGCTGAAAGCTTGTAAATCTTAGGGATAGGAGGCCCGATTAACTATATAAGAACTTTCGATGCTAACCGGAAGTGACGTTATTTCAATTCAAAAATTTTCCCTGAAAGGTGTTAGATACAAAACCGGCACGACCTTATTGCTAACAAGAAAAGTATTATGTACAGGGACAAGACACTACTAATTTCATGTGGATAACATATAATTTGAATTAAATAAATTAAAAATATGATTGAAAATTGCTACCCGGCAATGCGATGATGTCACAATAAATAATTGCTGGTTGTTTATATAAACGTCACGCTTCTTAGATTTTTAAAGTGGCGTCATTAAGAGATGTTTTCGTGTCATTCAACTAGATTCGTCTGGACAGAACTATGAAAATACACTTTAAAAAATCCAACAACGAGTTGCGTAACTTTCCCGGCAAAATAATTTAAAATTGTGTGTGACGCCATCTATTACGATATTTTATTAAAAACGTTTTGTATTATTTAATTATTATAAAATGGAACTAGGCTTAATTTTGAGAGTAGAGATGATTTTTATTCAAAAATTGTAAATGCTAATAACGAATAACATCTTCGTTAAGTCAGACCCCATCGAGATACGCCCTTTATCTTCCCATTCCTTCTATCTTTAAGTACTAAAATTTATTAGCATCAATGCCCCCTAATATACAAACCCCCCCTGCAAAATTTCAAAAATTTTCGACAGAAGGCACAGGAGTTATTAAGCTTAAAAGTGGATGAACAAAATTGTGCTCTCTCCACACACACACACACTTCTATTTGTTATCAGCATGGAACTCTCCTCCGTTATATAACAACCGACAGGAACATCAACGGATATCGCCTATTAAACAATCCTGATATTGAGATCAAATACATTGATATGCTGACGACATAACAATAATCCTAACTGACGTAAACAGTATTATAATAGTGAACTCGAACTTCGAAAGATTCAAGTCTATCTCCGACACGAAAATGAACCCTGAAAAATGCAAAGGGTTAAAGATTATCTCGAGATTTGTTTATGGATCTCCAACGGAATCTTGTCTACGCAAAATACTTTAGAAACTCTCCCACTATTACATTTTATCCACAAATCATTAGACCATCGACTTAGCGGCATTCCCATTTACTATAGGACCTGTTCATATTTTGAGATTAATGTCGTGCTTCCGTGGTTATTCGCGATTTTTGGGGAGTTCAACAATATTTTAAATAATATAATTAGAACGTTTAATTGTCTAGAAAATTGTTCCGTTGTTAAAAGCAGAATTCTATAATTTCACCGAAATTATAGACGAATGAGGAAAATTTGAATAATTTGAATAGTAATCTTTATTGTTTTCCATTTCATTACTATTAATCATTTCATTTTTTATATTATTACGGGATCAAAAGAGAAAATTTCTTTGGAATTAAACTGATGGGATAAAGCAACGAAACACGCGAACAATCTGCCAAGGGGGAATGCCTCACGGCAGGAGATTCTAAGCGAAATTGATTCTATTTAAGTGCTCGACACTTGAAAAAACTCGGAAACACCACGCATCTATCCCTTTGGTCAGGCGTGAATTTCTATATTATTAAATTAAATAATTATCTCAAATAACCAATTACTGGCTTATAAAACTGTAACGAAGCCAAGGAAATCGAGATCACATAGAAAAAAGGAGTCTAAGTTTATTTGTGAGAAGAATTTCGGTCTTCACCCACAATTACATAATACAAAAACCTGTAATATTGTTTTTTTTTTATTCTTTCCGCTCTGTGGGCATTGTTTTAGCAAGCCTATTATGGGTTCGGCCAGGCCCACAATGGGGCGGCCGGGTGGTGAAGAAAAGTGGCCGACATATTCGGTCGGATTACCTCCCGAAAAATTCCTGGAGGATTCGATTTCGGGTTCCCAGAGCGATAGGATGCTACCTTAACCGCTCGGCCATCCGGCCGTCGCTATACTGTATTTCATATTATTATTTAACAAATTTATTATTATTCTATAATTTCTATCATACAAATAATATTAATTATTCTTATAATATTTAAATTAATTTATACTTGTTTATCTCCCAATAAATTTTATTAAAAAAAACAAACTTAATTTTTTTATAGTAAGAAATCAGATTAAAAAAAAAATAAAACAATACGGATTTTAGAAAAGCGACATCTAACGACTATAAAGAGAAACAGAGGCAGCAACGATGGTTACTTTATAATCGTGTTACGCCTGGTTTACTGTAAAAGTTAATAATTATGCGTGACGTAATCGAAGAAGTATCAAATAAGCGAGTGCGTATTATTATCAAACGACAATTATAAGAGAATTAAATTCTTAATATTATTACGTAATTTAAAAATGAACGAATAAGAGAGACCGATCGATGATCCTCGATAAAAACAGACGAACTTTTCAATCGTCTGCCATCAAAATTCGTCGTTCGAAATCCCAAAATTTGATAAAAATGTGAAGAAAGAAATGGGATTTAATTATTTATTTCGATTAAAATGAAAGATTTTGGATTAAATTTAGTCAGTGTTAGAATCAAAATGAGAATACAACAAGAAAGTAAGTCAATTTATATATCAATTTGCCTTGATTGTTGAATGTTCAGTGCTTTTTCAATGTACTTTAGTCTTAGTTATTAAATGGACTTTAGATCAATCTTCAAATTAATAAATGTAATCCAATTTGATCGAGTCATTTAAGAATATATAAACAGAAAATTGTATAATTAAATTATTCAATCCAGTTTATTGTATTATTTTTAAGTAATATTTCATATAAAGTGATTTGTTTTTAAAAATGTTCTGTTAACAGGAATTTTTATCGATGGAAATTGTACTAAAAATCAATGTAATGCCGACCGATTAATTGTGATCACGGCCGAGAGGTCGCGGTGTCGTCCTACTGCTCTGGGGACCCGGGTTCGAATTCGGACAGGTTGAAAAAACCTTGGAATTTTTTTGGGGGTGGTCTGGCTGGATACTTTGGCCCTGTCCCTCGCCACCTGGCTGCCCTGGCCGAACCCATAGTCTTGCTATAAGAGGCCCTCTTAGTGCCCACAGGGTGGAACGAGTTAAATAAAAGAAAAAGAAAAAAGATTAATTGTGATTGATGGGTGAAATTAGTGATGCTCAAACTGTGATTGTTGCCAAATTGGGCCTGTGGCATGCATTAATCCATCCCATATTTGACATGTTACATTTAACAGGTGGACAATATCACTTAGGGTTAACTGGGATAATTGTTAATTTTTTCTCCCTGCAATGGGGAGAAAATTTGAAGATTTGGTGCAGACTCTTTAACTGGTTTCCTTCGAAATTGCCTAGTTTGCAGTGGCCTTAAGATCTCTATAAGTTCATATAGAGTGCACATGTAAATCTATAGTTACTTAAATGTTTGGCAGTCAGGTTGTGTGTTGCATTTTATAAAAATCAAGTAGGTGACATTGCTTTGTCCATTATGGGGCTTATGGAAGTGCCTAACTTATGAGTCTTGGCAAAAGCAAATAGTTTAGGGATGTCTGCTGAGGCAACTCTTGCCCTTGTCTTCATTTAACTCTTAGCAAGCATTGTACAGTATATGTAAATCTTATGACATGCATCTTGTCAACATATCCCTCAACTAGTTCACAAATCATGTCCTTGATGCATTGTTCTGTGAACGAGTAGATAATGGATATATTGACAAGCTACAAATATGTGTCATGAGAGTTACTTTCCTTATGCAATGCATATGCCATGGAAACCAGTGGTTTCCATGGCATATGCATTGCAAGATCACTATTTTAAGAAAAATGAGTACATGTTAATGTACATATTTCCATAATTTTTAATATATATACATATACATAAAGGCCCTAGTAATAACTAACTGTAGTAAACATATTAATGATTGTCTTCAGAGATTATCGGAATTTTTTCAAAGATGGTGTTTTGGAATATTCTATTTTTCAAGATAGCAACAAGCAAATAAGCTGCTTGAACTTGAATTGAAATTTTGTGTTGAAAGACCGTTTTTTGATATGTCCTTATGTTTATAACAGTTTATGAAAGATATTACATTTTTATATTAGTGGAGCATAAAAGTATTGTAGCTGCATATATTTATTTTTCTTAAAAGATATACGCCGACAAAGAAGACATGAGATACACAGAAAAAGAAGACCAAATTTAATCCTTGAAGAAGCAGAATGGATGCAAATTAGCTGTATAGATGTCAGTTGGAAGAGTGAGAATATAAACATTTAATTTTTACATTTTTGCAATTAACAATTTAATATTTTTAATTATAATAAATTTAATTACAGTCGATCCCCCTATAAGATCATTGATTTTTCCGTTTTATCTGAATTACATGTTGTACGAGTCACTTAGATTTTACAAATATGTGAGCCGTTCACAGCCCGGCACACGTATTTGTAAAATCTAAGTGACTCGTACAACATGTAATTCAGATAAAACGGAAAAATCAATGATCTTATAGGGGGATCGACTGTAGTTATTATTAATATTTAAAGAAATAAGTCATTTATATTTCACTTTTCATTTATTATTATAGACAGTTAAAATTTAAAAAAATAAATTTTTATATTTTTCATGCATTAATAATTAGGCTGCAATTTTAAAATATATATAAATTTCTGCTGTCATCTGTCAGTCTGTCTTTTTTTCATTAATCTACAAAGATGAGACCAGATATGAAAACCTTATGGGCAGTAGGTCTTGATTAACTTTATATGAACTTGTGATGTAAACTGAAAGTGATGTTATTTCAATTCAAAATTTTTTCTTGAAAGGTGTTAGATGACTGGCATGTTATTAAAGGAAAAGTATGATGTACAGGGGTAAGCCACTACTAATTTGAGGTGGAGAGCATATACAGCTCTCCCTTAATAGTCCGACAGGTATGGGACCAAAGGGGTGTTGGATTACCAAAAGTGTCCGGATTACCAAAAATAATTACATAATTTGCATTGTTTTGTTAGCAATAGCTTACAATATTTCCTACTCCAACTGTTCGAACAGAACTGCTCACAGAAAACACATGAGATGTGTGTCATCGTGTAAGAATTGGATGGGGAGATTCACGTCGTGACATGCTTCTGTGCAAGCAGACATGTAACAGGGACGGGTACCGCGACAGGAGGTGCATCGGACTACTGAGCATGTCTGATTAAAAAATGTCAGACTATCAAGGGAGAGCTGTATTTTAAATTAAATCAATTTTAAAAAATATGATTAAAAATTGCAGCCTGGCATTGTGATGATGTCACAATAAATAATTGCTCATTCAAAAAACAAATTGCTGTTATTACTATATTTATTTAGAATTAACCACTCTGCAGTGATTGACAGATATACCCGTCAAGGGCAATCATGTGGCACTGGAGAATGACGTCGATATCTGCAAAAAAATTTTAGCCAAAAATTACCGTGGAAAAAAATTCACATAAAAAGGAATTATGTGACAATAAAGAAAGATTTTTTCTTTACTAGACATAACTGTTTAAAATTTTTTTTTCTGAAATGGAAACAAGAAAAACGCATGGGAAAATTCTTAAAAAATTTCCCACATTTATTCTCCACTGCATTATGATAGTGCTATATCTGACTAACCCTCCCTACAAAGGTTAAACAATTCAGTTATTTTTTATCAACAACAACTGAATTGTTCTAATATTTTTAAACATCATTACTAACTCAACTGTTACTTTATAAATTTGTAGTTATGATTAAAAGTTACTTTTACTAATTATAAAAAATACAGTAGAACCTGTTTAAGAAGTTCTTGCCTAAAAGATTCTTTTTCATAAGAAGTCCAGTTTCTCTGGTCCTGGCATTTACATCATATGTTGTGTGTTAAAATTTCCTGCATAACAAGTTTTCTTATATAAGAAATTCCAAAATATTGGTTCCATCAATGATATTTACCCACTTAAGGAATTTATGTTGGAGACAAATCATAATTTTTTTCCGTACCATAACTTTATCACTTATTAAACTATTAAATTTTTAGTAAAGTAACTCCAGATGTTCACCTCATATTATATATCAAATACATGTACACCTGAGGTGGTTGCTAAATTAACTGGAGTTTTATTCTTTTGATCATACTCCCTATTTGGTGCTGTCCATTAACTATTGACATGTCATATTGATACCAGTTACTTCATCCTCTGCTATAGTCATTACATCTTACTATCCTACTATGTTACACTATGCTATATTATGTTACCTTGATATTGAAATAAAATTGATTATACAGATAAAAAATCATTTCTTTTACAAATCCTGCATAAGAGGTTTTCTCACCTAAGAAGTTTTTTTTTAGAGTGGTCCCTTTGAAAACTTCTTAACAGAGTTGTACTGTATATATTGTATTTTGAAAGAAATTGAATAATATAAAAACAGTCAAACTGATATATAACAGTCACTAAATCATGAAAAAAATTTGCTATAGAGAAATTTTGTTATAAAGAAATATTTTTTGGTAGAGTATTTTTTTTTCATTATTTTACATAATTTAAATTAGTATAAATGTAATATACAGTGATAATTTAACATAAACATAATGTTAATTTTAAGTAAGTTCACATTTATGTGTTAAAATACAAGTTAGTTTAACTATATTTTCATAAACAAATTTTTGTTGCACAGAAGAATTAAATAGTGTTCTTCTTTGTAAATATGCTTCATACTTATTAGAGTATTAAAAATACTTCTGGGCACATTTTCGTAATGTTGCAATCCACTACAAATAATTTGAAATGCCAAACAATTGCCAAATTATATTGGGATATATTATTAATTACAGTAATTACAAAGTAATTTAGCACTAGAGGCAGAAGCTAGGCACTGTATCTTGCTGAGTTTAATAATAATAATTTCAAGAGATGGTGCCTAATGCCTGCATCTAGTGTCAAATTAGCATTTAATTAATAGTAGTAGTAATAAGGCCTAATATAATTTGGCAATTGTTTAGCTTTAATATACAACTATACATTCATTGGGTTTTTGTGGGTCTCTCACTATAATCTTTCTTATCTTGGATTGTTTGGTCAGTTTGGTTACTTTTTAACTTTTCTAAAATTTCTTCATCAGTAGGATACTTAGTGATAATGAAATCTTTGTCAATGTTGAGATAATCATCCAGCATAATATTGATTATAATTTTATTGAATTGGCATAATGCTTCCCATGATTTTTATAAATTTGATAGTGGTAATTCATTGGTTTTATCCCATTCACCAGAATTTTCATTAAATTCTGCTTTGGAAAAACAATTTTTTATAGTGAATTCAATCACTTTATAGTCCACACTTTTGATATCTTAGAAATGCATTCTTTTAAATTAATTTTGTCAGCCATATTGTTTTCAACTCCATTGATCATCATTAAAGCTATCTTACAATAATGGAATTTAAGGTTTTTGATTATGCCATGATCCATTGGCTGACGTTTAGATGTTAAATTTGGAGGAAAAAAGAACAACTCTATACTTTTAAGACTTTTTGAGACTAAAGAAAGATATACTGGATAGTTATCTACAATTAATGCAATTTTTCTACATTCTCTTCTCATTTGTTTGTGTAGTTTTAACAACAACTCATCAAAAATCTAGCTAGTCATCCATGCTTTCTTATTAAAATGATACTCCAAGAGACTTCATCCCTTTGAAACATAATGGAGTTTTGCTTTTTTCAATTACTAACAGTTTCAACTTTTCACTTCTTGTCATATTTGTTCTAATTAATACAGTAATCGTTTATTTGCTCTGCTTTTCACCAAAGCATTGATTATTTTTAAAAATAAGTGTTCTATTGGGTGTACACTTAAATAATAAACCAGTTTCAACTGCATTAAAATGTCCTTTGGCTTATACTTTCCCAAAATCCATTTCAATGTTCCATTCCTTCATTGATTGCAGTCTTCTTCATTAATAGCCATGTTTTTACCATGAACCGCTTATTCAACAATGCCATGCCTTTTTTAAATTTATCTTGCCCATCAGTGTTTGCCTGGAAATGAAGTTTTACTCTTATTGGAAATTTATCTTGCAAATTTTCAATTTTTTAAAATTTTGTACAGTTTTATTGAGCTGCAATTTGAAAAAATTGTAGACCTGTAAATTTCCACTGTCTTTCCTTAATTTTGAGAATGGAATTAGATAGATGAACATCAAGACCAAATATGGAAAACTTTATTTCAATTTAAAACTTTTCCACTGAAAGGAGTTAGCTAGATGACCGGCTTGACTCCATTGCTAATGGAAAAGTATGATGTACAAGTTAGATGCAAATCCTAATTTTTTAAAATTAAAATATACAATAAAAAATTAGATTTGCATCTAACCTATACACTTTTTGATATTATATCAGTTTATAGCTGGCCAATAAGATTTAAAAAAAAAAAATCATATGGTTTGGGTGTTAAACAGTCTATTGCATTTTCTTGAAAATTTATTCAATATGACATATATCTTTTTGCAATAAACAAATTCATTTCTTGTTTCATCTCATATGTATAACTGATGAAATTTTACTCTTGCTTCTGTTAAGAATAAACAAAAGCAATAAGCTTTTGTTTATTCTTAACAGAACATTATATACTTTTTTTTATATATAGATAAGTTATATATGCATATAATAATTGCTTGAAAATTTTTATTTGCAAATTGAGAATATTTATTTATAGTTACTAGAGCAGTTTTAATCTTGTTCCTTTCATTTTCTGCATAGTTGTTATTTTTTCATTTAGATTTTTGCTGATAAAATAGTTTATATAATTGCAATGTGAAAACTTTCATGAATTCTTACATTTTAAGATTCAAAATGTTTTTTGTAGTACAGTTTAATTTGATAAAAAAGTGTTCATTATAATATATGTGGAATTAGATATGAAACTTGTTTATTATTATAACTCTCTTTAGACATGAATGATTACTTTTAGAAAGCAGAATAAAAGAAACAAGGTCATTTATCTTTATTTGTTTTATAAAAAAATGATTAGTTGCCAAGTATTTCAGAAAACAATAAAATTTTGTTTCAAGTAAATAAAATATTTTAAAAATATGAAATGATATATAAAAATATGTAAATTTATACTGTGTGTACAAATATGAGCTATGTTAATGTTAGTTATAAAATTTATTTAAAATTATTTGAAACCTCTTAAACATATTTCTATTGTTATATCAAGTAAAAGTTTTCAAAGTAAGCCTGGTATGTTCATGTGAAATTTTAAATAAATTAATCAAATTATATTTGTTTTACAAAATAATTTTATTCATTTTGCAATGTTTGATTTAATTTATTATATTACATATAAAATTTTTAATGTAGCATAATAATAAATTTAATTTAAGTAAATAATAATAATTTAATATCTTTGTTTATAATTTTTATGTTAAGGGAAATTTTGAGTTGGTTATATAATGCAGTTTTTATTTTGATTTTTGCAGTTTATACAAATAATTGAAATGATGAATTCATCTAACATTGATGTAAATGTTTTAAGAGTTATAAAAAGAAATCTTGAAAGAGGTGAAAAATATATCCAAGCCTTTATGAGGTGTAATAATTTTTTAATATTTCTTTAAATGATTTATTTATAAATCTACTGGTGTTAATAATTAATATGTATTGTATTTTACAGCATATAAGATTCATTTCCATTTCAGCACAGAATATTTAGGAAAAGTACTTAGTGTGTTTAACTGTAGCCTACTGAAGGCTGTAAGGGTACGTCCTATGTGGCAGCATCCAGCAACTGCGAGCATGAACTTTCTTCTAAGCGGAGTGAACAAACTGGTTCAAGCAAATGTGCGTGTCCAGAGTAACTGCGTTTAGCATGCAGTGGCCACCAGATAACACTTCTACATACATATATATATATTTGTATGTGAAACTTATATTAATATCTACTGCAACAATATATATTATACTTTACATATTTCTGTTAATTGACTATTACTTATTTGTTTACTTTTAAGTTATCAATCTAGCTTATTATTTATAATGCAGATATTCAATGTCATCTGTCTTACATGTAAATTGTTACGGTAATAATTTACAGTATATATCTCATGTAAACACATTGAAGCTCATTACTTTATATTCCTGTGTTCAATTTTAAACATGTATAAACTGGTTATGCTATTGCGGTTCCAGTGATGCAATATTGTTGCATTAATAAAAAGATTGTGTGCGTGCATTTGTGTGCGCGTGCATGTGCAGGAAGCAGCTACCAAGCATATTTGATTGCCTCTTCCACTGCTCGCACTTCCAAAGAAGAAAATGGCTGATTTTGTAGATGAATGAAAACAGAATGACAAATAAATTGTGTATATATGTTGTATGTACTTTAATTAATAATCTTTAGCGTAATTTAATTATTTCTGATTTTGTAAATGTAACTTTTTTTAACTTATTATTTTATAAAGATTATTTATATTTGTTGTGTATCTAGTTAGTGACAACAATTACCTGTCAAATTTACCATTGTAATGCTTGTCATATTTTCCTTAGCAAGCATTCATTGAAGTCGTTTCGCTGCTATTTTGTAAACAACACTCGTCCACTCTAGACAGAAATCGCTCGCGAGTTAGATGCGCATACAAAGATTCTTTCTGCTCGTGGTCGGTGGATGCTGCCACGTAGGATGTACCCTTAGGGAAATTCATTAACTTGTAGGAGATCACATGTAAGGCACAGGGCAATTTTTTTTTTCTATTTCTTTGTAAACAAAAGTTACATCTTGTATGCTGTAAAATATGGTATATTATTGGAAGGAAAGGTGATAAGTCAGATTCAATTGAACTTTTCAATTTTATGAAATACTTTCCTGTTTTAAACATCAGAAATTACAACATAATATATAAAACAATAAAAATGTGAAGGTATATTTAGAACATTTTTAGAAGTTTTTTTTTCCCCTGTAAATATCTTCATTATTTAAAAGTTCTTTTACTTTGAAAAAAGAAAAAATAATTAATTTGGCTTATTTCTTGTTCCTGTAGTTAAGTTGTTCAGTTTTTAATTTTAGATTAATAAGATTTAATTTGCTATAGTTTACTTGGCAACTATTAAAATTCTTATAACTTTCTAGATTTGACTTTTTTTATAAAAAAAAAAAATCTTTCTAAGAAGTCATAAACTTATTTACATGTTTAAAATTTTTGAGGATGTTGTCTCTCTTCAGGTCTTATACAAATAATTAATGAAATGATGACAACAAAATGTGTAATTAAGAGTATGAATATTTAATATAATATTTAATGTACAATAATATACCAAATGGTCAATTGATGTAAATTTAATGATTTTGAATTTTTATAAATACTAAGTTTTATGTCTCTTAAGGAAATTTTTAAAGTTTGCATTCAGTAGATTACATAGATTCTTACAACACAGTGGACATAAACCATCTGTTTTAATTTCAGTAAAATATATTACTATTCAAATAATGATGTGAATTATTGTAATCAATGTTTCTTTTGTCTTTGAATTAGCAACTTTCCTGAATTATAAAGTTTTTATTAAATATAACCATAAGTGCTCCCCTATGTATGAACAGGTTAGGTTCCTGAGGTTTTATTGAGTCAAAAACTAATCTAGAAAGTACATTTGTACACAGAGTAGCCATGTATTGTTAGTGTTCAATTCTTTAATGTATGTAACTCATTTACTTGCTTGCTACTGCTTATTAGTGGGTGTTTCGAACACTGTTTTTTTTCACCTAACATATTTAGTTTTATAATGAAAAGTTTATTTTCCATAGTCATAGAGCCACATTTCTTGCATTTATCTCCACTATTAGATTTACTATTAGGTTTTGGATGCATTTTTGAAGCACTAATTGTAAAAGTTTATAAAAATTGCAAAAGCAAAAAATGCTTTTACTTCAACACCACCTCATTATTTGTGATGATGGAATGTCAAAATTCATGTAAAAACAAAAAATGATGATATGCAGTAGAAATAAATTCGCATTAATTATTTATTAGAAATTTATTATATATTACTGGCCAAAGACTGACTTAAATGTCACACACAACTGGCAAGAGAACTTCAGAATACGTGTGAAATTTAGATTTTAGATATATGGTCAAATTATTTGTAAGTCTGAAAGTTCATAAGGTGAACATTTTTAAGTAGAGGAGTATCTGTATTCTGTAACTCTGATAAGATTATATAATCTTGATCTTTGTGCACATATTTTATTTTTTCTCTTTTAACATATACTCTGCATTTCTTCTACTATTCTTTTACTATTTTCTATAACTTCTATAACTCAAACTGCACCTACTATCATAAATCAAAATGCTCCAAGAAAACCTTTAACATGTTGCTTAATTTTGCTACCAACTAATGTTTTCGGACAACTTCACTGCCTTTCTTTAGGTTCGAAAACAAAACAAAAAAACTTCCTTCAAGATACAAGTTCTTTTTCTTAATGGAAACTTCTAGAATGCTTATCTTTTAAATCAAATCATTGTGGATTTGATTGCGTCAGCTTGTTCTTTAAATTTGCAAATCTGACGATTTTTCAAATGCTAAGAAATGACAAAACACCTGTAGACAAAAAACTGGTTCCAGGAGTATACAGAATACTTTTACATGATAAAAGGTGCCAAAAGGAGCTTTATTATATAGGGGCTACAAAAAGATTGATTAATGAAAGGTTGAAAGAGCATAAAAGGGATATTAGGTATGAACAAGGTCACGGTATTAGTAAATTACATGATCGCAGAACCAGCAGAGGTTTTGGTTGACTGGGATAAAGCAGAACTTATACAAAAAGTTTCAAACATATGGCATCTAAAATATACAGAAGCGTGATATATTAATAAATACAACGAAAACGGGCAAGCCATAAATTTTCAGGAATCATTTAAACTAGCATTGACATGGAAAGCGGTGGATTTGCAAACTTAAAGAACAAGCTGATGCAATTGAATCTACGATGATTTGATTTAAAAGATAGGCATTCTAGAAGTTTCTGTTAATAAAAAGAACTTTCATCTTGAAGGAAGTTTTTTGTTTTTGTTTTTGAACCTGAAGAAGGGCAGTGAAGCTGTCCGAAAACGTTAGTTGGTAGTAAAATTAAGCTGCATGTTAAAGGTTTTCTTGGAGCATTTTGATTTACTATTTTCTATTCAATATTTGATGTTTTCTGATACTTTTATTCAGTGGAAAGTTATATTGAAGTATTTTTTTGTTGATGACATTAAGATACAATAAAAAGAAAATTATATTCCTTCTTACATTCACTTTTTTATATGATGCTTCATTAAGATTTTTAGTTTTTCTTTAATATCTATATATATTATATAGATGTAAAAGAAACAATTGAAGATAGGTCAGATTCCTTTGTATAAACATTTTTTCAATCTGTTTTTTGTTTGAGTGACTAGTGTTTTCATGGAACTGCGATGTAAAATTAAAACTAGTCTGTAGCAAGCTTTAGAAGAAAATGAACCAAGTAGATAATAAAATATAGAAGATCATTGTTAGGAATTTTAAACTTAGATGGCTGAAAAATGTTCCAAAAATAAAATGCTACGTAAATTTTAAAACAGTAGGCATTATTCTTGTTAGATGAAAAAAATCAAGAAATATTACATAAGAAGTATTAAAAGAACTACAGAAATTAATATCCAAAAACACAATAAATATTTATATAAGTAGAATCACTAATCTTATCTGAATGTGCAATGAGAACAGATTTTGAATTTTAATAGGAAAAATGGAACTTATATACAATGATATAATAGAAACTTCTGACACAAGGGGAGAAAATCTCACATAAAAGGCATTAAAGATTGTTTTATTTTCCTGCAAGCACTTTTGTTTCAGTTATGAATGTTGTCTTCAGGTTGCTCTGTGCCCAAGTCTACGGAGACTCTTGTGCACTGACAGGGACATGATTTTGATCTTGGAAAAGTCAGATGTGTATTCTATCCCATTAGAGAATACATCAACTGGGGTACACACCTGCTTCATAGAGGCAACCACCAGATTGCTGTCTAGCCGTATATCTGAACACAGACATTCTGTTACGGTGGGAAGGTGTGACACGGAGTTGTCCAAGATTACATCATCACCAAACCCTGCTTGGAACCATATGGAGTTGCTTAGGTACTATGGTGAAAGGGATCTCGTACACATTTGGGAGGCCATTTTCACACATTTGTTATCATCCCCATGCAACTCTCCCATCCTCTAGTTGTCTGGAATTTGGATCAAATTGTATAAGCTATTAAAACATAATTAACTGCGTTTCTCCACTGTCTCCACACCTTCCACCTTCTCCACATATTAAAGCACATGAGCAGAGATGTTATGTGATTTTTCAAATTTAAGTTTTTAAAACTTTCTGTTGTAAAAGTTGTTAATATTCTAAATGGTTATGTTTCTAATTTAAAAATCCATTCGAAAAAATGTTCAGTTCCTGAAGACGATGTTCATAACTGTGTCGAAAGTGCTCGCAGGAAAATAAAACATTCCTTAACACCTTTTATTTGAGTTTTTCGCCTTGTGATAGTACAGTTGTTGGCATGACATCCACTGTACATATTAATAGAAACTTCACTTCTATCAGAGTAATATAGAGTGAAACTATAAATAAAGTTGATTAATTCAAAAACATAAGAAGCAAACTTAGATTATTAAGTATAAGAAGAGAAGAGAATTAAACAAGTATTATTAAATAAATTTAAAATGTCATTATTTGAATTAGAATAATTATCTTATGATTAGAGCTAAGACATCTAGGTTTTTAGATGATTTGAGCTTTATTTATAACTTCAAACTGCTTTTTTATTATTTAAGTTTATGATACAATTATTAGAACTATAAATTTTATTGTTGTTATGATATTTGCTATTTTATTACAATATTATATATAATTATTTAAAATAAAGGAAATTTGTATTAATTTTATTTATCTGTTTTATTTTATTAGTTGAAATTGCTAATATTGCTAATTTTTGGAATATGTTACAACAGATAACTTTAAAATATTTTGAAAATTTTGATCTAAGTGTCCTGATGCCTAGAACTTCAAATGATGAGATTAGTGTTATAAAATCTCTATATATTTCAAAATCATTTAATAAACATTTAGTAATCTGATTTGTGACTTCTAAATAAATTAAGAGTTTGTTTTTAAAAACATGAACAAGAAACAACTTATTATGTCTATTTAATATATTTATTTTAGTAAATTTTAAAAACTAAATTTAATTTAAGATCAAATGTTAAGCACAATTAAAGGTGATAAATTTCTACAAGAAATATAAAAAGTAAATTAAAGAAAGTTTAAGATATTAGAAATATATTAAGATACAAGTCTATTTTCTTATAATAAGTTTATTATTGAATAAATCAGATATAATTATACAAAATTCATAATAGAATTAAAATTTGACATAAGTAATTTTGTTTGTTGTTTTTATGGTATGTTTTATAAAATTATAAATATAGCAAATATTTTTTACAGTATCGAGGGATCACTACATATGCTAAAAGAATTTCTGATTGGACCAGATGTTGAGAAATTGCTGGAAGCTATTGGTTGTTGTACTAATCTTTGTTTTTCTTCTCATGAAGTGACAGTGAAAGTAATTAACAAAATTGCACCATATCTGATAACATTCTTAAATGGAAGTAATATTATTGTTCAAGTAAGTTTGTATCTAAAATATAAAAATCTGTAGATATCATTTTATTAAAAAAGCTTATTACTAATTTAAAGTTAATTCCTGTTTTATATTTTGGATGAGCATATTGATAAATTATAATAATCATCAATTTGCCGATTCAAACTAAAAAATACAATATTGGAATAAATAAAATGACTGAAACCAATTTCCAGCAAAAATTTATCAGAAATTAAATGTTTTTGACCGTGTTAAAGGCATCTTTATGCTAACTGACCTTCACTGCTGTTAAAACAAGGGTACATGATAAGAGGGGTGACATAAGAAAGAGAGAGGGAGGCGGAGAGGGCTGTAAGATTAAAGATTGTAGAATGTTGTGAAAGTTTATAGCAGCATTTTTTTCTCACAGCTTTAATGCCAGTTTAACATTTGAAAACATTTACTTTCTGATAAATTTGTACTGGAAATTGATATCAGTCATTTTGTTTATTAATTATACCAGTTTTGAGCAGTTGATTATACAATATTAGAAATATTACAGTCTCCTGGAATACAATTTTTGTTTATTGTTTATTTACTTTGTTGTTATTTTTAGTTAAAATACTTTAAGCTTTTTTATCATCAGAAATTTTTTGGGGTCTCAGAAAAATTATTTACATCAAGGTCTCGTTTTAAGAGAATGTTGACCTGATTAGAATCATAGATTTTCTAACAATGTTTTCTTTCAGTAAAAAAATAAATCAGATCTTTATCAAATAAAATCAATGGAATAGTCAAAATTAAATATTTTAAAAAAAATTTTATTTTACATTAAATTCATTTATAATTTTCTTTATTATAATATAGTTCAGTTTCTCAGTTTAAAATTAATGCAAAATAAGTTTTATTTTGGAAACATATTGCCAATAAATTTGTTTTTTTATATTCACAGTTATTTTTATTTGAATTTATAGAATTTCTTTAAAAATTTCAATTACAAATAGGTATTAAATATATGAATAACATAAGGAAAATTTGACATAAATCTGTGCTTAATATAATGCCTTATGAGTACAAATAAAACTAAAAAACACTAACAAATATGTGTAATATACAAATATATTTTGAATGAATCATTTTTTAACTGATATAATTGCATATAATTCTAAATAACAGAAAGATAAAAATGGTTAATTAAGCATACATAATTTAAGAATATGTTTTTGTTTTTTATCTTTTAAAACAAAATTTTCCTTTTATTTTATAAATAACTAGCTTATGTACCTCAGTGCTACTCAAGTAAAATAGGACAAAGATAAAAGATTTTTGTATAACTTTGAATTGATTTTTATTTTTAAAAATACTTATACATAATCAAGTATTACATTTAGTTTTTTATTAGCTTTTATATAATACACATGAGCTTATTAATTTTGTGAAGTTTTTTGATAAACAATATTTTTTCTGTTTGCTTCTGCACACTTTTGGACAATTGAAGCTCATTTTCTCAGAAGCATTTTCAAAATAGGTTATCTACTGTTTTCTATCATCCAAAATATAAAACAGGAATTAACTTTAAATTAGTAATAAACTTTTCTAATAAAATGATATATAAATATCTACTATTATAGTACAATTATTTATTGTATTTACAATAACAATTGCCTACAATTATCTATTTCACCTTTATCACCTTTTTAATTGTAATTGTTTTTGTACTATATATATATAATTTATTCAATACATTAACACTATTTGTCATATTTGATGTTTATGTCTGCTTTCTAATTTAACATTAACTGTGATATCAACAGAGCTGGGGTATGTCCTACAAAACTCTCAAGGAATGTATTAGACCTTAACCTTATATCTTTATGGGTTGAAACATCACATTGAATGCAAATCTGTTTATATAATAGGAGTCATTATATATTTCTATGTTAGGACCCTGTAAAAAACCTATTATAGAAATCCCAGATTTATGGGTTGCACTGTTTAACTTTTTAAATCAGCATTTCTCAAAGTGGGAAATAATGCCTCCTTGTGGGCGATGAGTAAATCTAGGGGGCCCTGAAGGCAGGGTATTGAACGGTGACCAAAGGCAAAATTGGGGTCACTGAAAGCCGTTCCCTTTCCTCTGTTAAACTGATAACAGGAAACATTGCATTTAATGGTTTCCAGATGTTGAGAACAATGTACGGTAAGGGCACAAAGTGTGAGATTCATAGAAAAGGTTTCCTAAGAATATTTCCAATCCTTTTTCACTCAAGAGAATATGTGTTAGGGGGCATTGGGTATAACTTTATGGGACAAAGGGGGCGATGGATCGAAAAAGTTTGGGAATCACTGTTTTAAATGGTTTAAAAATTTGAGGCAAAACATTGAGTTAATTTATATTTTTGTCCTTTTTATGTCATTGTAACATCAGTAGAGTCTACTATTTCCATTATTGACAAGACTATGTCTTGTTTATAAAATCGTACTGCCCTTTTTTGTTACCAGCATAGAGGTATGAAGGAGTACATGTCGCAAGTTGATATTTGGCACAGAATATTAGGTGCCCAAATCATTTGCGCATAAAAAAATCCAGACTTGTAGGTAGTCGGGGACCGAGAACTGAGTCAAAATAAAATACAAAATGGCGACTCTCTTCTAGAAACAGGCAAAACAGGCACCTCACCCCACCGAAGCCAGGTAAGGGGAGAGTACCACCCACAGTCATTCTAAGAAGTGAACTCTGACCTTAGGACTGAACATGTAGTTTCTTCTATGTTAAATAAAATTTGTAATCTAATTTTGTAAATTAGGGAGTGCTTCAAATATGACGTTAAAACGGTTTTATGTCATTACGAGTGGGTTTTTTTTAACATTATCTAGTATAGTAAAATCATGGGACCAATAAAAATTTGATGTTATATTAGGGTTGTCGTTACATTCAGTGACGTTATAATTGAGTTAAACTGTATATTGTTTGTGTGAAATAAAAAATAATTTTGGACAATACAATAGCCACAATTATTTTTTCAAAAATGGAAAATTTTTGTTACACATCGACAAAAATTCAACCCGGGCCAACATGCAATGGAGAGAAATTTTGATATTGGATAGGTTAATTTCATCGAAAATGCATTGTGGCCGGCAAAGTTTGAACGATCGTGCCCAAAAGCAGCAATACCAAAAAAGATTGGAGAATGAGAACGAGACCCACCTTGAGTGTCAAAGTGATTCCACTTAGTAGTGAGTCTCCGAGACATAGTCTTGTCCCAAATACTGTTTTGCCGTTTTACTTGTTTTTACATTCAAATGTGTGTTCCTTTTCATTTAAATAAACATTCTAACAGTATTCTTAATGCATTCTATATTACCTAAGGAAGACATCAATGCAATGTCAAAAGTACCTGCTAATTTTTGTTATCATTAAAATATCTTAACACTGAAAGATAGTATCATTTATGTTTATATAATTATTGGCATAAAGTACATATATTTTATTTATCTATATATTCTTATACTATGTTAGCATAAGGTATTCTTTAGTGTAGCTAATCAAATACTGGTTGTTCAGTTATGTTTTAAATCATAGATTTTAAGATGATGGAGTTTTCAACAATGTTTAATAATGTGAACATTTTATTGATGATAAGAAATTATTGTATTTAACTTTATTGATGATTAGAGTAACTCCTTGCTATATTTCTCATTTGGATATACAGATAGCCCTTGTATAACATTGTAGTTATGAGTAGTAGTAGTGGTTTGACACACTCTAATTACAAAATTAATTTTTCTAGGTAATTCAATATAAATCTTGACCCACTCTAATCTCAAGAATTAGTAAATAGTTACGAGTTGAGTCATTATATATATGATATATCTTTATATATGATATATCATTATATATCATATAATGTTGAGTATATAATTTTTTTAAAAATTGTTTTTGTTTTAGTAAGTATTAAATAATATGTTTTTATATAAATTAGATTTTAAATTCATTGTGAGTATTTTTTTAGAGTGAAATGTTAAGAGCACAAGTTAAAGAAGTAGATAAAAATACCCTACAACATGCCCTCAACAGGGTTCGGAAAAGGGGTATTTTGAATTAATTGTTATCCCAGAGAATGTACAGTACATGAGCCAAACGAACTAAAAGCAGATGTGGAAACTGCCATTATGTTTGCTGTAGATCGGGAAAGGAGAAAAGATCCTAATTATAGGCCACCAGCTCCACCCCAGATGCATATAGCTAAACACAGCTGTCCGTATCGACTTCCATTACCTGACATGTTGCTTGTCTTACTATGTGTCAACAGCAGTTTCCCTCACCTTCACATCCAGCTGTGCGCTTTCCCCAACCTTCATAGCTCATTCCATTTGACCAAGCTATGTGTCAGCATGGAGAGGAATATCTACATCACTGTGTGAGGAACATCTAGGGAGAAGAGCTTCAAAATTGGGTGCTAGAGCTTCAAAATTGGGTGCTGGAGCTTCAACATAGGGTGCTGGAGCTTCAACATTGGGTGCTGGAGCTTCAACATCGGGTGCTGGAGCTTCAACATCGGGTGCTGGAGCTTCAACATTGGGTAACAGAGCTTCTGACAATCAGTTAACTAAAGCAACCGTAAGTATACGGTATTTTAAAAAATGTGTTATTTACTTGTAAATAATGTTTCAAAATAAAAAATTTAAAAAATTTTTATTATTTTTCATCAAATTACAGCATTGATTATACATTGTAGCACTTGAGCGTGCTAGATAGAAATGATTTTTAACAAATTTTTTTTACAAGTTCATCATTATAATTGTTGTGTTATTTCATGTTTATATTTTTTTTTTTTTGGCAAAAATAAGAGAGATTGTTTACATTTAAAAATATTTTATTTGTATTTTTCAT